CTTTTCAGCAGCTGTAGTTTCAGATCTTAATATGGTACAGATATCTTGCTAGTAGTAGCAACAGCTCTATAAGGTGGATCTTCCCCTCATAAAATCTTTGACCACTGCTTGATTTAACCCATTTTCGATTTAATGTTTTATAAAGTCTAACGTTGAACTTAGATAAATATCTTCGTATTTTTTCCGCGATGCCATTAACATGAGTTATTAGTACTATGCTAGGACGAATCATTGTCTTGCAGGTCGGTTAAATTGTTTAGGGCTTTCTTTGTCTCCACTAAAGTAAACAGCTCCGACACATAAAAACTCGCCAAAGTGCTATTTTGTTGCTATTAAAACGTAGTTTAGGAGCTATCCTTAATAAGTCAAATCAAAGAAAATAGCACTAGGTATTAATAATTTAGAAACAAAAAATAACCCTAGCTTTCACACCTGAGTAAAACTGTTTTTCTGTGATAAGATCTAAGTCACAGGTGGGGGTTCTAAAGACTGGCCCTCATGGTCCACTGCCTGCAGATCGGATGTACTTCTCCAACTCATCGTGACTATTGGAAAAGAATGAAGTTCGAAAAAAAACCATTGTGTGGCAGGAGAATCCACGGCACGACATCTCGCTCGTTTGCATAAATTCCGCCTTTTCAGCCGGATCTGTAGCAGAGTGCATCTATTCAATAAGTATAAGAGATTGAAATGGTTATAGCACGGTAAGAACAGCTGAGGAGAGCAGAAATTGAATAAGGAAACACAAGGGTGTGGGCTGCATCTGGAAAACCACAACAGTTTTCTTGTCAGAATCAGACAAGAATTTTATAAGAAGTTCACATGAAATTGATAAGAAACTGATAAGATTCTTATAAGATGTTTATAAGAAAGTGACAAGACGGCTTGTTACTTTCTTAAGAATATCTTATAAGTTTCTTATAAGAATCTTATCAGAACCAGTGAATTTCGTATCACTTCCGTACAATATCTTATATAAGAATCTTGTAAGAATCTTACTAGAAACATATAAAAATTGCGAGAACAGCTCCTCCATGTGTATTCGAGCCTTCCTTGAGATAAACGTTGTAAGAGAAAAGTGTTTTTTGTACTGTTTTCAACGGTATAACGGTGCCCAATTCGTTAAGAGAAACGACAGATGGATGAAACTCGCTAATGATACTTAAAAGATCACTCTGATTTGAATAAAAATTTCGCATATTGTACTGAAGAAGAGAAAACTGAGTGTATTGAGATTCAGGTTGATAATATTGGTCGATCCATGTTTTTGTCAGTTTTTCTCTCGACTGAGTCCAACATAGCTCCTGAACAATACTTAGACCTAAATCAATTTGTAGTTTTGTCATTCCGTTCGTTTTGATTAATAGTTTCGACGAAAGTTCATTATATTTGTAAACATTAAATTGCATGTTATCTTTTGTGGCCATTCTAGGTAATAGATCTCGATGATACCGTTGAAGCTAGTCGCGTTGTTCTACCCTGTACTTGCTGTTGCGCCTGTCTCTTCTCCAATATTTTCCGTATCTCGTTCACATGATTTGTTAGTTGAGTTTTCGTTGCCTGGTGTCTTGTTATTTGAAAAACCACATTATTCACTAATAGTATGCTCGGTAGCACTGCATTATATAAGTGATGTTCGATTTCATTCAGCTGGACTTGTTGTTGGTCAAGCTCCATCTCTAGTTCACATAGCTGTGCCGTTAGCTTTGTTTCGATGTTTTCAAGTCTTTGGTCGATCTTTCGTAGATGAGAGGAAAGAATGTGCTCAATGTTCCTCGTACCGTTTATAGTTTGTTGATTTCCCGTTACTGCATCGGCATAGCGCTCGTACTGATGACTCGAGCTCACCTGATTTGTCTGATCAAGCGGTGGGAAACTGGTCAGTAGAAGGATAATCATAGTTTTGCTGTTGACTTGAACTCTCGATTATCAATTCTGCACGATATCTCTTTTGTTGCTCGCTAATCTGTTAACGGATTCTCTGGACAATTGGGCATGATGGGTGACCGGCTGAATGTTGATCGCTACAATTTACACATTTTTCTTGTCGTTCGCAGCCATTGGACATACCATGTTGTTCGCCACATCGCGCGCATACTTGTTGATTTGGACATTCTTTTGTTTTGTGATCATGATGAAAACATTTCATACATTTATTAATGCGTAATGGTTTATAATACGGTCGCACTACATGGGTCGTTTGATTAATATAAATTTTACCGTCGACTAGTAGTGATTCGACATCTTTAATTGACATGAAATCCGCACGTACGCCATTTAGAGTTGTGTCGTTTTTTGTGTACATTCCCGTTAATTGGACTAATGATGGATAATGCTCTTTCATATCTTGTAAAATCTCTGCTTCATTCCACGTACGATGGAATTGCTGAATAATTATTGAGTATGATTCGGGCGATGACCGTGGCTTGTACAAATCGAACTCTACATTGCTTATTTTGTTTGGCCAGAGAACACTATCAATTAGATCTTCAAACGTTGGTGCATCGTTCGCAAACACGAGTAATCAATTCATATAACCGAAACGCCTTGTAATATTGAGAGGTTTATTATGTTTGCTTTTCCAGTGCTCAATAATTTCTATTAACATGATTTTATCTGACATATTTTGAAGACTTTTAAAAGAAATTGAAATTGGTGGAAATTGAAATTGAGATTTAGATGTATTTATAAACATTTTTGACTGTATGGCGTCTTGCTCTTGATTGGCATAGTTGAGGCTTGTATGAGAGTCGTCAAGATTAGATCTTGGTCGTTTCCTTGGTGTGTTTTCTTGATTTATTATCGGTCTGTTTTGGTTATGTCTTGTGTGTTGAGATGAGTCATCCCTCATTTCCATCGTTTACAACCTGGGAAGGCGAAATAGTAAAATAGTAAAAACAAGAAGAAAAGAAGACGAACAAATATACGTATTAACAGTAGCGTGTGTATTTGTTTTATGACCGTAAACACAATTATGTACATATCACAACGGGGAAACAGCAGTCTTATTGTGCGCAGAAATCTCTGTACATTACCCGGCATCGGCTGTACGTGAAAAAATTAGAGGTTATTATATAGTATATGACTTACGAGGAAATCGCGCGAGGTGATACCCTTCGTTTCTAATGAGTTATACCGTAGTCGATAGAGCATGTCGAGCTAGTGAAATCCCTAAAAGGATTCGGGTTCATGCCTCTTGAAGACCCGGTTCTGCGCAGCAAAGAATATCATTTCTCCCTTATTCTGTTCCGATTTAAGACTTCACAGGAGGTAGCGCAAAAAGTAGGAAGATACACGTATTATCTACTTCTACGTTTCTCATTTTATTTATGTGATTAAACAACAGCACATTTCTGTGAAAAATGAAAGACCTTGGCATATGTATATAGATAATAACTACTGACATATACATACTGATAATTACCAATTTAGACTGACGCTATATATGAATAAGAAATAAAGAAATTAGTCAAATTGGTGGAATGAGAGGACGAGAACAATCATATCGGACCGACAAACTGCCAACGTCGAATGATTAATGTTTATGTTCTCCGCAGCAAGAAGAAATAAAGAAATAAGTCCAACTGGTGAAATGAGAGGACGATGACAATCATATTAGGCAGAGAAAAACAAACTAGTAACGTTAAATGATTGACGAATATGTTCTGCACAAAGAATATCGTTTATTTTCTTTGTTCTATTCCTATTTGAGATTTCACACACAAGCATCGGTTATCGAGAGTAGATAGCGCAAAAATGTTTGTTATTTGAATCGATCTTGTACTACTCAAACATTTAACATGCTGTGCTGTGATCGCTCAACTTACATAAAATTTAGTAGATATTATGTGTTTTCATCCATGCCGATTTGACCGTTGGATTTGGAATGGTGTTTAATGTCTGATATCTTATTGTGCGCAGAAATCTCTGTACATTACCCGTCATCGGCTGTACGTGTAACCACATTCTTTTTCTCATTGGTCAGTCAGTATCACCTAATACTAAGATAGCAAGCAGAGAGCATTATAGTAAAGTCTTCTATGTACGGGTGTTTAAAACAGTACATTGAAAAGAAGCAGTAAGGGATGTATTGCCATTAATTTCAGTTCAGGAAGCACTCTCTTCTGTACAAAGAAAGCAATCATTAATCGACTTAGTGAATGCAGTTGTTCTGAAACAAGTATTTCAACTGGAAATTCCAGTAGATATAACTTTCAACCAGTAATACAAAGCTAAAAATACTATTTATATTTTAAATTGCGTCGCCAAATATTCAACCCGAACCCGACCCGACAACATCTTAACCCGAGCCCGACCCGATCCTAGGGTCGGATCGGGTTGCAGGCCTCTACCCTCCGTTTCTAATGAGTTATACCGTAGTCGATAGACCATGTCGAGGTAGTGAAATCTCTAAAAGGATTCGGGTTCATGCCTCTTGAAGACCCGGTTTTGTGGAAAACCAATTTTTCAGAAACTCTAAAAAATAGCCAAGATCTTTCTTAATGAGGCATGATTGTAGTGCGCACATTTCTGATTAAAATGAGATATCTTCCAGCTCTACACGAACTTTCTTTGCGAAGTTATAGAATTTACAAGAAAAGCCCTAAATTAATTTTTGTATTTCTGTAGCGTTGAGCTGACAATGAATATTTACGGCTTTTGTTGTAAATTCTATAACTTTGTAAAGAAAGGGCATGTAGAGCTGGGAGGTGTCTGTTTGTAATCAGAAATGTGCGCGTTACAATTATGTCTCACTAAGAAAGGTTTTAATTATTTTTTAGAGTTTCTGAAAAACTGGTTTTCCAGAAACCCGAGTCTTGAAGAGCCACGAACCAGAATCCTTTTAGGGTTTTTACTAGGTCGATATACTCTATCGATTGAGGTATAACTCATTAGAAACGGAGAGTATCACCTCGGGCGGTTCCCTCCTTAGTAAAACAAAATGGTGACTATAATAAAACTATCTAGTCCTCGTCTTGAACCTGATCAGCGTTTGTTTCTCTGAAAATATCAAGATCAGGCTAAACGATTCAAAGTCATATCAAGATTTACTGTTTTGTCTGATCAGTATAAAACCAGCTTTTCTCGATCTGACCTTATCACTTTCTTGGTCTGGTCTTGCAACCGACCAGGACAAGAAAGAAAAAGCAGAAAGCAGACATCTGTAAGTAAATAAGTCTTTACTCTGTTTTCAAGAACAGATAAACCGGACATTTTCTAGGGATGTTGCTCAAGTTAAAAGCTGGAGTTCAATCCTCATTGTATAATCCGAATATCATACAAGAAGCTATGAAAGAAGGTAGTAAGACAATCAATAATCGCTCTTTAATTGCTATAGAAAAGACTATCGAAACCAATCACAAACACCTGAAGTAAGATAAGCAATAGAGTTATTAAAAATACACATAATTTTTATTCAAAAGTTAAGTGAAATTGAAGTGAATGAAAATACAATCTTAACTAGTTTACATGTGGTAGATTTATTTACATCAATCGATCAAGATCAGCCTCTGGAAATATTAGATATTGTACTTCGGATAAAGAAAACTGTTGGAAAAACACAAGTTTGGCAAAGGAGAATATTTTGGACATAGTACGATTTTGTATAAATAATGTTGTTTTCAATTCCAAAATCAAATTTATAAACAAAAACAAGGTCCACCAACGGGATGCTCATTATGACTACTATTGGCAGCTCTGTTATGATTGATTTCATACAAGAAAATTGGGACAAAACGAATTATGATTACAGAATGTTAAATAGATACGTGGATGACATTATTTTAATATCAAATTTCACAAAAACAAAAACTAAAGAACTAACTTTAAACCTTAATAAGATAGACAAGAGTTTAAAGTTTGCGTTAAAGTTTCAGAGTGACGGTAAATTAGTATTTTTAGACGTAATTAATCACATTAGACAGGGTAAGGGGAAAAATTTGTAGGAATAGTAGTTATGCGTCTTCAATTACCAAAATATAGCTAATAAAATCAGAAGAGGTGGTAGAACGGAAGATAAAACCCTTTCTTCTAAGACGGTAGTGATACCACATTTAAGTGGAATGTCAGAAAAAATAAAACAGAGTTTAAAGCATTTAAAGCTCCAAATGTATATAAAACGTTCTCCACCTATGGGAATAGTTGGATTAATATCCACAACTAATAAATGCTGTTATGGAATTCTTTGTAAATGTAATACCTTACACATAGGAGAAACCAAAACGTTTGACACGTTGCAAAGCAGAACGGTGCGCCATTTGCCTAAAAAATCTCTGCAGATGGCCAAGATCCTCAAGAATAACACAGACAAAACATCGAAACTTGCATTTGTCAAATCAGAATCAAATCACTTACCCACTTCGTTTATTATTGTGTTGAGAACTGCTGATGCAAATCAACTCTTAACCAACACATCATTTTTATGCTGCCCATATGCTCTTTAATTCTTCAAACAACCACATATCCAATCTTCTTCTTTCTTTCTTTACACACATCTACATCTACTTAAAGAGCGAGAAAAACAACAATAAAAAATAAACAATGATATTCTATGCTGTACTTCTATGCAAATTAATCATTCGACGTCGGTAGTTTTTTTCTTTCTCTCCCTCATATTCGCTATCGTCCGCTTTTTCCACCAATCTGATTTATTTCTTTACTTCCTTTTAATCTGTACTGTCACTTCGCAAACACAATTATGTGCATATCACATGGGGGAAACAGCTGATTGAAATCAGTCGAAAATCACCCAAAAATCAATTGATTTTCAGTGAATCTCTGTGATTTCAAATGACTTCCAGTCATTTCCGGTGACTTTTCATTGGTGAAAATTCATGAAAATCGGTGAAAATCGGAAAAATCAGCTGTTTTCCTTCGCCCTTGGCATATCAGCAGTTATTATCTATGCACATATTTCAAGGTCTTACATTTTCCATGTAAATATGTTGTTGTTTGTCCATGTAAATCAATTGAGGAACTAAGGAACAGATGAAATGTATATCATTACTATAACTATGTGGCTCTCGACGGGATCCGAACTTCGACGCACTTCTTATCCTAGACCGAAAACAGAATAAAGAAGGAATGATATTCTTTGCTATGCAGAACATCTAAATTCATTATTCGACGTGGGTAGTTGTTTTTCTCTTGATATGATTATTATCGTCCTGTCTTTCCACCAGTCTGACTTATTTCTTTATTTACTTTTCATATATAGTGTCACTCTAAATTCGTAATCATTAGTATGTGTATGCCAGTAGTTATTATCTATATACATATTTCAAGGTGTTTGATTTTTCATGGAAATATGCTGTTGTTTCTCCATGTGAATACAATGGGGAAGCGAAAAGCGACTCATGTATGAATAATACCAGCTCTATAAAAACGTGGCTGCTTCGCGGGTCGGCACGACCCGAACTTCGACATACTTATTGTGGTACCCTCTTGCTGACTGCTCTATACTACTGATGGGTCTTCGTTGAACATTGAGAGGGAAAGAGAATAAAGAAGGGATGATATTCTTTTCTTATCTACATTAATCAATCGATGTGAGTAGTTTGTTTTTCTCTGCCTGATATGATTGTTGTCGTCCTGTCCTTCCACCAATTTGACTTATTTCTTTACTTCCTTTTCATCTGTACTGTCACTCTAACTTCGTAATCATCAGTATCTGCATATCCTTAGTTGTTATCTGTGTAAACCCCTCCCCAGAATAAAAGACCACCCTACAATAGATGACCATTCCTATTTAAAAGATTAGTCTGAAGCTTATAGTGCAAAAGCCAAAATACCACCTTTATTAGAAGATCACTACTGTTTTGAATAAGTGTAAATGATATATATTATAATCCTTATTGTATTCTATTTATCTCTTTTTATCTTTTTCTATCTGTAAGTTAGCCTAGACGAATTTAAAATCTGCCTGAATTTTAGTAACATATACATATATCGAATGTTTCTGATGTATCGTTATTTAATATGGATAACTTTTCTTCATGAAAATGAAGTAACAAATATTCTGTTCTATATAACACGCGTGTTTGGCAGATTAAAAGTGGAACAACGAAAGATACAAAAAATCATGCGGAGACAGGGTCTATAGAATTGACTAACGCGGTTTTGAGCAGTTTATGCAAACACAGAGTAGACAGAAGAAATGTGATACACGTGTGGCCATATGTATGTATTGAAAAATTTCGTCTTTAACCGAAAAAAGGTAGGAAATTCCCAGTGGATATATTTTAAAATAGCATAAGATCGTCTCAGCTTAACAAACTGGATATCGAGCATGTATCTAAAGCATAGCTTGGAATCCAGAAGGAAACCTAGATACTTAAAAAGTTGTGACTGTTTTAATAATACATTGTTAAAATAGATTTTTAATTTTGGACATTGCACGGTGTTGTAGTAAACCACTAGTTCCGTTTTCGATGTATTTACTGGTTGGTACATATATCGAATGTTTCTGATGTATCGTTATTTAATATGGATAACTTTTCTTCATGAAAATGAAGTAACAAATATTCTGTTCTATATAACACGCGTGTTTGGGAAACTAAAAGGCATATTCACATTTAGGTCAAAACTATATATTTACATGAGGCATTTATCACTTTATTCGTTGAGATTGATTTATTTTGGATTCAGTACACTTCTCTCTTACATGAGATAATTTTTATATGAAAACTTTGAAATAAGAAATATGCCAAATTCAGTTTGATAAGTGATGTATATGCTACCTAGTGTAAAGAGCAACAAAAAAAATGCCTGTAATAGATTACCGTTCTTTAATTCATGGTTTGACAAACAAACTAGAAGACCAGTAGTCTTTTATTCTTCAAATGGATTTACATATTTCAAGGTCTTTCATTTTCTATAGAAATATGTTGTGTATGACCGTGTGAATAAAATGAGGACTGAAAAGCCGATGATAGGTGTATAATACGAGCTCTACAAACACCTGGCTGCTTCGCGGATAGACGAGACCCCAACTTTGACATACGTTTTATGCTGACTGCTCTATGCTACCGATGGTTCTTCGTTGAACATTGAGAGGGAAACAGAATGAACAAGGGATGATATTTTTTGCCCACAACGCATCTAAATTCATCATTCGACTTTGGGTAGTTTGGTTTTTCCTGGCTGATTTGATTGTTACCGTCGTCGGAACCCTAACTTCGATATAGTTCTGCCTACTTCTGTTGAAACTTCGAATTATATGAAAGAAAAGATGTTACGTTAACTAGTCTGTTCCGTAACAGCACTGTAGTTAGAGTTCTTATGTATTTAGCTACCATTCGCTGTCATGAAGGGATTGGCGTGAGGAGGCGGTATGAGAAGGTTTTCGGAACACTGAATTGAGATGGGTTTTAGGGTACGCATATCATTGGTTT